TCCATTTACCTCTATTCTAGTCCATGTCATTCTTTTTCTTAAATAAACTGATACTAAAGTCAATCCATCGGATTGACACAACTACAAAAGCCGAGTCAATATTCTTTAAGAGTAAACATTGAACAGTATTTCCGAGAAAATATCAAACTTTTGAGAGCGTATCGTAAAATCATGTATAAGAGACAGTGCTAATTCAGTAAACAATAAATACAATAACAGAAAGGTGAAAGAAACTGGCTAGAGATTACCTCGGCGCCGGCGTCCGCCCATGACATCTCCGCCGTAAAACGGACGACGGAGAGGACGGGATCTTCCTCAGAAGTAGGAACCACGGTCGTCATTTTCCTCCCCCGCAAAATTTCCCAAGAGATAGAGAGTGTGAACAGCAAGCAGCGCAGCGGAGAACTCTCTTAGTCGGGCGAGAAGAAAAACCCTAGATAGGGATAAAGTTGGAGAGTCGCGAATAAGACCACGGAGGGTAATCTAGTAAAACCATCTTGGTGCTGATCATTTTTATAGGTTCTTTTCCTTCTTTTTTTTGGTAAAACAATTATGTAATATTTTTGTTTTTATATAAACTCTTGTTTTGAGAAAACATACAAATATCCATTCCTAACTCACTATGAACTTTATAGTTTAACATTTTAGATTACAATTTTAACAATAATAAACTTAATTTTTTGTATGTACTGTTTTTTTTTTACGTATTATTTTGTTTAACATAATAAATTATTTGATTGTATTGTATTTTAATTTTTTTATAAATGATCTGCGATATAATTATGATTATGAATTTATATATACATATGTTACCAACATCTATTTTTTGTATGTAATACTTTTTTAATGTAATACATTTTTAAATAGTAATTCTATTTTATAAATGACTGTGATGTAATTGTGATTATAAATTTACGTATATCTATATTATTAACATCTATCATAAGAATTGTTACAATTTTAAAAATATCACGAGCTAAACAAATTTCATAACTACACAAGCTCGGATCTCTTCTTTTTTTTATGCCAACTTCAATCCATCACCATATGAATAATCAAGTAGAAATAAACGCAATGCATCTTGAGATTCGACATTCAATTTTGAATAACCTTAATAAATAAGTATTTTATATGTTTATGTATGGCATAAGAAAGTAACACCTATTGATTGGTTTCCCATGGTAGAGGGGCAATTTAGTCTCTTTACCCCCATTTATCAAAATATTTTGGTGTTTAGTAAGTCTAGAAATACACCATGTAATTGAAATTGGTGTAATTATCAGCCTAGTAATTATGCTGACATATTTGCTTACCATAATATAATTACACTATAATTACAAGTGTACTGTTTAGTCTCACAAGTGTAATCATAAGGTTATATTCAATTTTAAAAATAAAAATTAATTATTTAAAATTAAAATTTATATTAGACAAATAAAGACCTTTTATAAATAATATTAAATTAAATATTTAAGATATATATTGTCTCTTTAAAACATACAAATTAATAATATATATTCTTAACTAATATTATAAAAATAACTGATTTATATTTTTCAATTTAGTAAATTTAAATTAAATTAATCATAAAATTAAAAGTATACATTTCCATGAACATCATGAAATGCATGTTTGACAAAAAGATTAACATTTTGAATATAATATCATATAATTATAAAATATTTGACAAAAAAATTATCTATCAAGTCTAACTTAAAAAATAGCTTATAATGTAAATTATCAAGTCAATAGCATGGAATCACATGAAGTAAAAGTTGAGAATAAGAAGGAAATGAAATATAAATAAAATAAAAATATTTTTAAAAAATATTAGAATAATAAAAATCAAAAACAATTTAAAATAGTAAAAATAAAAAATACATCAAAACGAAAAAGAATAAAAGAAAAAATTAAAAAGTAATTAAGCCCCTTGTGAATTAGAAAGTATAATTATATTATGTCAATTACACTCAATTATCTGTTGACCAGGTAATTACAGTATAATTACATCAAATCTAATTACCTCGTGGGCTTTCTAAACAAGCCTAAAGGTGATTTCTAGTGCTCTTTATTAAGGAAAAACTACGTAACTACATAAATCACTATCATATATATTACCTCTAGTTTAAAACAATTACACATACTACCATTTTTAATATTTATACCATATATTTTAAATATTTAATCATATACACTAATCCCTTAAATATGATATTTTATAATTATCTTAAATTTAAACTCCTTAATTAATGGTCCATTAACAATTCAAATCCCCCCACTCCCTCAAAAGTCCACCAACCCTCTTTCTTTCTGCCTCTTTCTTCCATCCGTCGTTGCCCCCTACCCCCACTTTCTTCTCACTCTTCATTTCATCAGCCGTTGCCCCCACCCAGCCCGCTTTCTTCCTTCTTCTTCTCCCTCTTTCTTCCTTCATCCTCTTAATACATGTTTTCATGTTCAAATTAGCATTATACATATAGGTTTGTTTCTATTATTCTTTTTTTTTACTATGGTTTTATATCTATGTTAAAATTCATAATGCTCTGAAATTCAATTTTAAATAGTTTTACAAATTAAGTTTTATATTTTTTAATTTTGTTGTTTCTCAAATACTTTTGTGATTTGACCATTCTCAAAATCAAATGATTCTTGTTAAAGGTACTACACATTAAGAATATTATACTAAATTAAACAACTTTTATTTGTTTATTTTCACTCATGAATTTCTGATTGTTGGGACTAACTTTTCATCCGCCAATATTCAAACCGATAATAGATCTAAATATAGGAACGGCCTAATCAAGATGGAAGAATTTCGCCAAGTTTTAATTAACAGAACAAATACATCATTAGATACACATCGAGTGCAACAATGTTGAATACATATCAGGTGTATATATATCTAGTTAAGACTTCATGTATCTGAGTTAAAAATATATGTATCTATGAGAAATAATTTCAGATGCTAAAATAAAGGAATTTTTTTGAAATATTTTACTTTTTTCGGATTAATGATAAGGCAAATACTACACACTCGTGATTTATTCTTAAATTTGTGCGTTTCAATTACATTCCATATTTAAATACACATAATTATATGTATATGCTTACTATGTATCCGAGATACATGTTTTTGAATATAATGTGTGAAACTAATACTTGAACATCAAATTAATATTAGATACATATAAAAGATATATGAAATTGAAATTAGATCATATACACATGAAATTAATATTAGGTCATATAAATAGATACATTAAGTTAATACTAGACACATATAATAAATACACAAAATTAATACTAGATACTTCTATGATACATATGAATGTACTTATATGATACTCATGTATCTAAGTGTTTAGTTTGTTTGATACATCAAATATTGATAATCGATACATCAAATTAATGAATTTATTATTTTAAAAGTAATAAAATGAAATTAATCAAGTTAGTGACCAAGGTTACATGTTTTTGTCTTTTATTAATAATATTAATGAATTTATTATTTCAAAAAATAATAAAATAAAATTAATTAAACATATATAAATACTCCTTGATTTTCGCCTTATATTAAGAGATTTGATTAATTTAAATTTCTAGAATTAATTGTTCATTCATTCTGGAAATTCTCAATTACTCCTCTAATTAAGGAAATCAGTTATAACCAATTAATTTAAATAGATAAAATATGTATTTCGATTTTAAAATTCGACAAATATATGTATTTCACAAATTCAAACTCATGTATTTTAAACTAGTGGGATTCATGTAAGGCAGCAAGTCTGTGAGCAGGGTTTTCGATTCCGCCTCTTGCGCCTGTCTCTTAGGCCAAGGCAGAACCGAAAATGGTACGCCGGTGCTCTTCCCCCTCTTCGAGTCTCCTGTGTTTGTAGTTTATGGCTGTTTTATTTAATTTATTTTTTGTGTTTGTTTCAATTTCAGCCTTCGCACAAGGCATTCATGATAAAGAAGAAGCTGGGGAAGAAACAGAGGCAAAACAGGCCTATTCCTTAGTGGATCCGCATGCGCACTGACAACACCATCCGCTACAACGCCAAGCGCAGGCACTGGCGCCGCACCAAGCTCGGATTGTAAGAATACATACATTTTAGGGTCAGGGGCTTCGAGTTTAGTTTTAATTTTTAGAATTAGGACTTCAATTTTCGAATTTGTGCAAAGTTTGCACCAAGTTTCACTGTGATGTTTGCTACTTAATTTAAAGTTGAAATCATATTTCGTTTATCGCATTTCTCTCTTTGTTACTTTGGTTATATGCTACAGGTTTACTACTTTAACTTCTACCTGATTAGCAACTACATTATTACTTTGAAACGTTTTTTTTTACATTATCTTCCGTTCATGAGTTTTGGTTGGGAGTTTGGATGAAGAGGTGCTAATAATGTTTGATTATTAAAGGATGTGTTTATCAACATGTATTGGAATCTAAACATTTCTTGGGCATTAAGGCAAATAATCAAGCATTATTTCATCTAGGTGCTTCCTTATTTTGGGAATGCTTGTGAGGTTTGTAACAGTTGTCAGATCATCAGAACTGTGTAATATCATTTTGATGCAACTTCTGCTTTGAACCTTACTCTTTTGTTGAATTTCAAGTCGTGAAATGTCCACAATGTTGGCTACTTGAATTGTATGTTTGTTTCATCAGTAGTTTAGGAAATTGTCTTGTAATTTTTATTGTTCATGGGCTTGTCAAACAAAATTAGGAAGAACGTTTAGGATTTTTCGTTCAAAATGACTTGTTATACTGCAAAAGTGTAGTTTGATGATCTACAGCGTCCTTGAAGAACAATATGAAAGATATAGCAATGACATTCGTTTCACTGTGTTGAGAGATACTCTGGATCTCTCGATTAAGGAGATCAATTTCCTCATTACGGGTCGATGAATGTGTTTATTACATTCACCTAAAGTAAGTTATTGCTGTTATCATGCAAGCATGGTATTTGACATCTGCAAGGGCAGTGTTCAACTTAATATGAACAAATATAAAAGGATGATATCATTTCCACATCAACAGATTAAACTAAAGAAGAAGTGTGTTTTTACTCCCATGATACAGAAATAATGGGTAAAATACAGCATTCAGCACTTACATAGCAGTTTGAATCCTGTGTCAATTAGACACTATTACAATTGTGAAAAAAAGTTCCAAATTTGCAGTAAACGAAATCCATTCATACTTCCAACATAACTGGGAAAGCAAACTTTTGAAACTTGATGTCCAGTGAAATCACTTGCTGCTGCCATCACCAAATAAATACCCCAGGGAAGATCCACCACCAGGTGCTGCTTGGACCTTGGTTGAACGCCTTTCCTGCAATTATTCCAGGACAAAAGATTGGTAACACATAAATCTTTAAGCAAGCCAAAAAGGTGCTGATATTTATAATATTCTTCCATTGGGAAGAAAATCAAAGCCTAAATGCAGACTGGCCATGCCTATTGAGGCAGTTAGCCACATCTTACAGTATACGAAGTTACGAGGCTTGAGAAGTTGAGTATTATGATCTAAAAACAAGAGTTCTGTTAAGAAAGAAAGAAACAAATGCAGATACATGGACCAATGATAGAAGAATGGTTTCAAAATTAAGAAAGGTCGTGTGTTTAGTATAGCAGATTGTAGAATATATAATTAAGTAAATGAATGTGTGATCTCTTTAACAACTTAAGTTTTTTGATGAGATTCCACGATTCAATAAAATACCAAAGCAGCAAAGAGAACCTGTGCATTCAATTCTCACGGCAACCCATTGTCAAATACGATATTCATGCTCTATCCAACAGTTTAAGCTTTTAGATGAAATGATTACGCAAATCAACATAGATACAAGTTTGCAAACTTTAAAAGCACTCCAAAGTTCAAAAGAATGGCAGCAGGAATCATAAGAAGTTGCTAGCTAACATACTGTTAGAAAGTTGCCGCAGTTCTGGCCATCAGCACGAAAATAGTTGTTTGTGTTGTTACTGTGAATGCCTGCTGGTACATTCTTGGTGTTATCCACAGGTTGTGCAACAGCAGCTGGCTTTGAGGCAGGCTCATTAGTTGGAGCCTTTTCCTGGTTGCGAGCAGTCTGAGAATTGTTAGCAGGCTCTCCACTTCCAAACAGGTAGCCCAAGGAACTCTGACCGCCCCCAGCACTCACTCCGCGGCCCATCCTTAATGATTAATTTCTCTACGAAAAAATCAAGTACGACATGTTAATTAAACTGTAAAATAGAACAATTCAACAGTATTTTTTAAGCTAGTCAGCAATTTCTTTCAATAAACATTGACAGGCACACAATTGTGCTCAGCTCAACTACACAACAACATCACTAAGCAAACTCATACTCCATTGTTAACGATCATCTTCGCTTTCAGAGACCAATAAGCTATATGTTCTTAACACCTACACAATCTTTTAACCAGCTTTTAATATCACGTTCTACAGGGTGCGGTGCTTCATAACTCCACTGTACATAACTAACATTCTCAATCAAAGATCAAACAAATACACATAACATACTACATTATCCAAATCCTGTTCACTCCAAGAAAAAGTTCAAGTTCCACTTCTTAATTTTGCGCATCCACGGGACTAGGGTTCGCACAAGGTAGGAATAAGGTTGAGTACATACCAGCCTCCCCAGACCCCACTTGCGGCACTATGGATTGCAAATCACATGCTTTAAAATGGAAGTCACTGAACACAAAACAAAACAAAACACTATAGATCCACTGAGAGAACTGTAAATCTGCCTCTGGAAAAGGGCTAAATATGTCACCATGAGATAAACAGAGGATAAAAATTATAACCAAATTCCAGTTTTCTCAGACTAATCATTTTCCCTTTAAACGAGCACAAGATCTAAAAAAACAACAATTCACTCGACAAATGAAACTATTATTATTTTAAAAAAAAAACTCAGATTAAACAGAAACTCACATCAACCAGAAAAACAAAAAGCTTGAAGAAGAGAGCAAATCCATACCTTTGGAATCAATTCCGAAGCGAGAGACAGAGGAGAGGGGCCGGTTGGGGAAATAAACTAGCTTTAAATAAAGGTTTTAAAGAATTTGAATTTTGAAAAAGAAAAAGAGTAATTATACTAAATAGCCCTATAATATTAATCAATTGCACCTACAATCCTTTGAATTCTTTAGAAAATAAGATGCCACCCACACCTTTTATTGTTATGAATAATGAAAATTATAGTATACATTATTATCTATGTTTTCTAAAAAATATTTAAGTCCCATATATGTATAATCCTTCACAAAAAAAGACACCCATCTAACTAAGTTAATTTAACCACACAGTTTTTTTTTTTTTTTTTTACAAATGTATAACATATTTAAAATGCAAGGAAACTATTACTAGTAATAAGTAGATTATAAATATACATATTTGTTTTTATTCACTATTCAATATTAATTTTGAATAGACTATGTTTCAAAAATGTTTTTTCTTTTCTTCTAATGGGGAAATGGTTAGCTTGAGATTTTAGAGGATACATATTTTTATTTAATATGTATTTTCTTCCATCTTTTCAATTTAATTTTGTTATCTGATACAATTTTTGGTGTTGCGATTTCATTGGCTTTTTTAGTGCTTTTGTAGGTTAAATATGTTTTTCATAACTATCTTAAAAGTTAACTGTCAGGATTTATTAAATATTTGATTGTAGATAAAGAAAATCACGTATAACTAATTTATAGGATTAAACAATTTTAATCTATATTTAAAGGGTCATTTTTAATTTATCCCTAACATAAGGGATCATTTCTCAAAAATTCTCAAAACATAATTGTGAACTTTGAAACGAACCGACAAAAAGGAGTGCCCCCTCATCACGTTCCATTTGGTCTACGGATGAGTATTTTGTTTATTATATGATAGCTTAGACGAAGAGGAGATGCACGTATATTTCATTTGAGGAGGATGTCTTTGCGAGTTGCGAGTGGTTGGATATAGTGGGTATGAAAAAAGGTAGAAATAGTTAGATTAAAAATGTATTGGGAGAGATGATTAGATAGTAGTTAGTATATGAAATCCTTAATTATAATATTATTTATTTATTTTTCACCTCATTTATTGTATTATTTGTTGTTATTATTCTCTTCTCTATTATTTTCAACATAACTATTTCAAATTTCAATATTATATTATTATTTTTCATACTTAATTTTGATATACTTTATTTCAATCGAAGATTTATCGAAAACAATCTATCTATCTTAGTGGAATGTTATTATTATTGTAGGATAGTTTGGAAAACGGAAAAGGGTCAAAATTACTCCTATATTATTCGAAAAGGTTTAAAAATACCCCTCATCCATCTATTAAGCTAAAAATATCCCTAAGTGAACATTTTTGGTCCACTATTACCCTTTAAACTAACAACCTTATATTTTTTTAATTATTATTATTATTATTATTAATTATTATGTGACGTCTTTCTGTTGGATAAAGTTTAATTCCAATCCATTCAATCTCCTACCCCACTGATCCATATTGACATTCCTTGACCCAAACCCAATTATAAGATCCATTAGAAATAAAAAAGATTGAATCATCTCCTCTCCTCCTTAACCTAATATCCTATTTTCCTTCTTCCCCTTTTCTTATTAAGCAATTACAAGATTTATTTCACCCAAAATAATCAAATTTTCAATGCAGCATTTTATTGAAGTTGAAAGATTCAATCGTCTATTGAAGTCGAAACATTCACATGTTTGCCAACTAAAAATGTAAAATGATTACAACTAGCAATAAATTCCCATGTAAAGTACCAATCTGTAAAATTCACATGTAAAATTAAAAAAAAAAAAAATCTTTTCAGATGCACAAAATTTCTTTTCAGTTCTCAAACTTCAAATCTTTATAGTATTTTCTCTTACTTGTGACTTATACACATCAATGTTTTAAAAAAAGGGCACAGTGAGCTTAAAAGTTTATACACATCAATGTTATAAATACAGAAAATTTATAGTAATATAAGTGACAAAAACTCTAATAATGAAAAAAATTACTAAAGACAAACTAATAGTTATTTTGGGTGAAATTGATCTTGAAATAGCTTAATAAAAAAAGGGGAGAAGAAAAATAGGATATTAGATTTAGGGGGAGGAGATGATTCATTTTTTTTTTATTTCTGATGGATATTTTAATTGGGTTTGGGTCAAGGGATGTCAATATGGGTCGGTGGGGTAGGAAAAAGTTTGGTGGATTGGAATTAAACTTTATCCAATAGAAAGACGTCATGTAATAATTAATAATAATAATTAAAAAAAATGAGACTGTTAGTTTAAAGGGTAATAGTGGACCAAAAAGGTTAATCGAAGAGTATTTTTAACCCAATAAATAGATGAATGATATTTTAAAACCTTTTTAAATAGTACAGAGATATTTTTGGCCCTTTTTGGTTTGGAAAGTATTGAGGGTTTTCTTATCCAATAAATAGAAAGAAAAATATATCTATGATATAACGATAATCTAATATAATTATTGGGTGGAAATAAATATTACAGGAGCCAGCAGTAAGGTACTAACATTTGAATTCGTAATACAACATTCGAATCTTGCTGTTTAAACTGTACGTTAATTTTTGCCGACTTATGATATGGAGTCACTTGATCGGCGAGGAAATTATGTATCCACTGCAACACAGAAATTAATAATTTTAATAGATTTGACATGCATTATGAAAAAAGATAAATTAGCTGAAATTTCGATGGAGATTAAAAATGATAAATTTAACAGATCAAAACTTTCCCATGTACTACACTTAACTATTTTATTCTACTCTCCAACCTAAGAAACTATTCTTGTCATTTCACTCCCAAAGTCTATCAAACAGTGTTGGTAAAAGTTTGTCTATCCCAAAATATGCTATACCATTTTGATTGAAAGCAAAAACAAATAAAAAAAAAAACTATAGTAGTAATATATCTTTGAATAAACTAAAAATCTTTAGATAACTATAAATTAAAGAAAAAATAAACTATCACTTAAACTGAGACTTTTGGATTCATTTCATAAAAAAAGGGACCCCATTTGTGAGTTGTGAGAAATACAAAATTGGATTCGGTGCATGGGATTTTTATGGAAGAAAAATAAGTGAACACATGTGTGTTGTCAGTTCCCTTTACTGGATTTTGTCACAACTGATAACTTGGAAAATGCAAGATAGACATGAAATCATGGTGGAAACGGCCAAGGGTCCCCCCTCCTTCCCTTTTTCTCATGCAGGTTGGATATTATTAATTTGAATTTACATTGCACAATATACATTTAAAAAAAGGACTCCCTATTTAAGAAAATTTTGTATCCAATTGATATCTCTAACTAAAAATGAAGCAGTCTCATGATCTGCTACACCACTCTTTCGCGGTAGAAACAGCTAAGCTGCTAGTAGTATAACAAGGATATTTGTTGACAGTATTGCATAAGTTCTTTATGTAGCAAAAAGCTGACAACATTTGTTTCAAATTTGTCGGTGGTATCACAAAATTATTGTGGCAGATGTGTCGGCAATCCCTTTTGTCCTTGCCAGAGCTTAGAAATCTAGGTAAGTACTGAAAACGTCCATTATTTCATGACCAACAGGCAAATAGTAATTCACACACACTTGGAATAATTTTGACTTATAAAAGTGTCGGACCCAAGCATACCTTAAGATTAACTTTGAGAAAAAAACCAATAAAAGTTAAAAAGAATCAAGTTTATTTCTATTATAACTTGTTTCTGACATTCAAATCTTAAAGCATTCCTTTTCCTGAGTCACTTCCACAAGGAAATTCTCACTGTCACAAGTATAGTAAATGGAACAAAGTAATTGGATAAACCGAACATGTACACCAATAGCTACTTTGGACATTCCACATGGTTAATTTACACAACAATAACTTTGCTACATTTCTAATAATAAGGAATTCAGCAAAATAACTTCATGTTGATGGAATCCTGGAGATATCTACCAGTATCCTATGTAGGCCTTGAGGCTTGGAGAAAAAAGGCGAGTGATCAGCACCCTTAAGATGAAAAACTTGTTCTGGAGGATTATTGCTAATTAGGTTTTGCTGTAAGGCTATTGGTATCGCATTATCTTCCGTTGTTTCTATATAAAACCGCCTAACAGAGCCATACTTGGAGTCGGTAAGACAAAGCTTCTCCAAAACTGGGGAAAAGGGAATCGGCCTCATTGAGACAGATGCTAATGCAACATCCTGCATAGAAATTTAAATGGTAAGAGGAGAAAGCTTGGAATATCCACAAATGGCAATTTCCCCAAAGGTATACAGACAGATTTTGTAAGTAAAGACACCAGTTATCCATTTCAAAACCCACAAAAAGAATATCAATTTTAAGTCTTTCCCTTGCTTCTATAATAAACCAACAATTAGCAATTCATATGACAGGTTTAGGGCATCCAATGAATGATCAATTAATACCAAGATATAGGTGATACCAAGTAAAGAATTAGATAAGACTCTTTATTTTACTCTGCTATGTTTTGCATTGTCCGACAAAGGATAAGCTAACCTACTAATGTGGAATCACATATACCACACTCTGGTGCCCATTTATTAAGCTTTTCAGGGCCATTGATATCTACCCCAAAAGAAATATGTTGCTCAACTCATATAGGTACCCTTTACTCCCTTTCTCCGAACTCCCAATTTGTAGTGGTCATGACCAGTAACGGAAGTTGCAAAGATTTTTCGCAAGTTATGTTTTAGAGTTAGAAAGTAAAAATATTACATGGAAGAGTCCATTTTAGCATTTACGGGAAAGCTGAAAGGTAGATTTTGCCATTTTTTGAAACATAAAATACTTCATCTATAACTCAAAGACAACATACCTTAGCAGGACTATGGTTGAATAACAAGTCCCTGAGGAGTGACTTGTCCAAATCAATAGCAGTTGGAGGCTTGTCGTTCCCATTGGCATAAATAAATATTTGAGACTGTCTCATAAGGTCATTTGAATCCGTCTGCAATGAATATGAACTTTTGTTAACAACAGGAGAACTTAAAACTCAATTAGTCAAACAAGCAGCAAAAAAGCTTC